ATTATTTTTATTCATTTTCGATGAATTGTTTAAACCCGATGTAACGGCCAAACAATAAGAAGTGGTCGGCAAAAGAGACAAGAAGATTATTTTACTATTTTTTATAAATAAAGTTACAAATGTAAAGACCTAATAACGAGTGCGACCTCCTCTTGCCAAAATACAGCTTGAATCCTTCTGCATCTGGGCATGCTTTCCACGATGTTTTTAATAACATTTTGAGGAATACATTATCACTCTTCTGCAATCTCTTTTAGCTTCCTGATGTTTTGTGGAGCAGGTTGCACTGATGTTATCCTTACCCGTCTCTTTAGAACATACCAGATATGCTCAATGGGATTGTGGTCAGGACTTTGAGCTGGCAATCTAAACGAAGGATCCCAAGTTCTTGCATGTACGCTTCCACATCGCTAGAACGGTGCGGGCAATTATTGTCGTCCATAAAAATTGAATCTTCCTCTAATGCAGTCAATACTGGTTGTGCATATGGTATTAGGACTTCCGTTATGTACCGGTGTTCATTTAATGTTTCATTTTCTTTGAAAACTAACTCCGTACGCTCCGTCGAATTAATTGCTGCTCAAAACATAACGGAGCCTCAGCGATAAGGAGTAATTTCTACGAAACACACTTCCGCATAGCGTTCCCGTCTTTTCCTCGCAAAGAGATTATAGCTTCATCAGAAAAACAGTTTTGAGCAATCTCGTCGAGTCTAGCAACACTGATATTGGCAGTCACAAGCCTCCTCCTGACCGTCCACATGCTAACTTCTACTTCTCTTACTTCTTCAAGGCGCTTCTTTAGGTCCACACTTTAGGCCTTACGATTCGCCAACGCCTGACTCACCAAAATGTCAGTCATCACTTGGTTCTGTGCATAGTTTTCTTTCCGAGCCGGGTCTTCTTTTGACCGAAGCGGTCTATTGAAATCGTTGCAAAGTCCTCTCGGTCGGAGAGTTGAGCGACTCACATTTAGCCGCTGTGACACGTAAGTTTGCGAACAATCTTTTTCAAGTAGCCTTATCAATTTTTCACTCATACCAGGAAGTGTTATTTAATGTAAAAAGCAAGATTAAATTGTTTAATTTACATAAAATATCCAAAAAGTTTTAAAATTTTAGTATCCAACGTTGCGAATTAAAGAGTTTACTATTCATTGAAGTACAGAAAAAAATCTAAAGTGCCTTTTTTTGCAAAAGATTTGAATAATCCCAACAATATCATTTTTATTAACTAGTAGTTGTTCATTCATCTAAATCTTACCAAAACATCAGACTTTCACATTTATCTAAGCATTTATCTTAACTGTAAGACAACGCAAAGAAAACGTTCATACGAGACCACAAATCTCATAGGACATCAAATTTATAAAGGAACATAAATATTAACGAAATATATGTGAGTCGAAGTACAAGGTAGCTAAGCCAGCATACAAGAAACTCGGAAATCTTTAATCATCATTATATTGTGAGAAATGTAGCACCGAACACAAGAAACAGTCCCGAGCTCAACTTTAATGCTCTTACAATAAATTTCAAAATGCCAAAAGAAATTATATAGATCGCTATCACCAAAGAGTTACTATGTCAAAGAGGCCGTCAATCGTATGTACTAGACTTCGAGAACCGGTAGTCATTTTTTTTGCCGTGACGCGGAAAGAGCAATGGACACGAGATTCTTCGCCATGTTACTACTACACATGTTGACCATACATGGATGAGGAAGGAATCCTGTAGGCAATTAATGAGGAAGCAAACCGATCCGAAGGTGAGCTGATTCTATCCGATACTATAATAGTAAGATGAATGTTTCGGATTTATCAGTTATAAAAAATTAAGTAACAGTAAGTTTCCAAGATTAAACTAATAAACTAAGAACCGTAACCTTACCACGAACCAATATCGAATTCGAATAGATTGCGAGTACGAATTGTCTTTGTCAAATTTTGTATGGAAGCTTGAACAGCAGCGCCGCAATGGACGTAACGAGAACTAAAAATCAGGACACATTGGACAGTGACATTTCGCGCTCGCAAACTATTCGAACTCGATATTGGTTCGTGCTAAGTGTACTAATACATATTTAGAACTGATTGTTTGACCCCAATAAATGAAAAAAAAGAACTATGAACCACCACCTCCGGACCTTTTACGATAACTGTTATCGGCAAGAGTTGGTCTAGTAAAAAGCATTCCGTAAGTAAGTTGATTATAAATTTACATCTCAACGCGCTGACATTCTTCCTAAAACACCATTTTTACTTTAAAGCCAGTGCCTATGACTAATCTAGTAGCGCAAATGCGGACCGCACAAAAAAGTCGGAATCTCCGTCGCCGCATCGCCGACTCATCATTATTAAAACGAAATCTCTGACGAACTCCTTGGTCAATCTCAAAATTAAAAACAATAATCTTAAGCCACACGTTCAAGGTCCACCAAAATATTTGGTGCACACGCACACGGTCCGGCCGACATGACATTCGCATCGGGAATTCGTGACGCCGAAGGTCGCCGACCTCCTCATTGGGAACCGGACAGCACTGCTGATTTGACAGATACCCTACGACATATCGAGTGTGGTATCGAACCTCGATGTTTTGTTAATAATACTTCACATGGTAATGCGGCGACAAGAAAATACATTGTTTTTATTAGTATCTTTATCGGCATATTGGTGTCCCATCTTTCTCATTTATGTTCTCCATTGTCAGAGCATAAATATTCCCAAAATTACAATAGAAATATAGAGAGAATGATGGATCATCCATACTTTTCTCTATACAACTCTGGCCAATTTTGTACCTCAAGTATTGTCATGCATTTATGTGTAGAAAAATATGCCGAATTCATCAAAAATGTAAACGGAATTTATTATCCACTTGTACTACATAAAAATGTCCTTTAAGCATCACAGATAATACATTATGGTAAATGTGCATATTTAAGTCAATAACGAATTGAATGAATGATTTTTAACCAATTGTATTAGCTGTCATCTGTCAATCAATGCCAAATTGCGTCTAAGATAACAGATTTTCAGCAGTGTTTATTGAATTTGTTTGAATTTTTGATGAGTCTTTTTAAGTGTAATGTTTGATGTTTTTTGAGATAATTTGTACAAAGGTACAAAATTGGGCAAAACTTTAAGGTCTTCTTTATCAATCATGTTTTCCACAATGTGATTTGATTACTTTTGAGTACCAAAATGACGATAGTTTTCCAATAAAACCCAAATAATGGAATATGTATTTCAAAAACATTATTCCAATGGTTCGAAGTAAACTTATTGTAACGAATGTGATCATTGGCCAAGCAGTCGTGTTTATCTTTATCTTATTAAATACCATACTCTGACTAAAAATTAATTTAGAATGTAACCGTAATTATAACGAGCAGAACCTATATATAACTGTTGGTGTGTACCGAGAGCGCGAGCGTCGAGAATGTTGGCTGCGCTATAGATGCGGATGCCAATGGTATTATTTACAATCCTCTCTGTATCTATAAAATCGGAGCAATATATCAGTTCAGCGACCCCACGCCCGAGGAGACGTAATCAACACATCTAAATACTTTAACGGGACGCCCCAGCGCGGCGGGCGCCGGCCACAGATATTATTGTTTCGTGTTCGTTGCAATTAATATCATATTCTCCTTTATATAAGTACAAAGAATAACGACAGAAGAACGTCAAGTGAATGTGTTTAAAACATAGAGCAACACGGGCGATGCAGACAGGAGGGGTGTAGCAGGCATACACATCTTTCCCCCTTTTCAGATCGGGCATAATTTGAAGATGTATTGTGTTATTGTTTATGTGTGAAAGTCGTAGTTACAGCTTTGTTTTATATGCGTGTACGTTAAACTGCGTTTGCGTGCATATTCCCCCCCGCAAAAAATGATTGAACGATTTGAATACTATACCCTTCCGTATTGCTCTATGGTTTGAAAGTGTCAGCAGAGAACGTTCCAGGATAAAGATTTTTTTTCTTGTACATGGCTTCGCACGGCTTGTGTATTTAGCCAATGTCAAGTGTTAAAATGTTTACAAATTCTATAGCACTCATAGTCAAAGTAAGTGGCAGTCAAGTCAAACCCCCTTTTCCTATGTTTCAGTAAATGTGTGGGGATTTACTGGAACCTCCCCGTGGACTTCTTGAGGGAACGTCGAAAGACACTTTCCGCTATTTTGTTTCACTTGCCAACACTTGTGCATATTCCCGAACACTTAGTGGTTAATAATCCACCATTATTAGACACTAACATCCGCCACAACACAATTTTTAACAAGAAAAACAAAACTGCTGAAGTGACGCTTTCCGATCCCGCCAAAAAGTCCAAGGATCAAGTTCATCAATTTAATTTGGTGACATTCTAAAAAATAGATGCAAAAACAAACCGGATGTAGAAGACGTGTGACGAGAGTATCATAGGGATAACTTTGTCACCAATTAATGGCTATCTCATTGAAATAAATGTGACCATATAGTGCGTCATATGTAATAAACAAAAAAATATACCAATTTAAAACAAAATAAACGATAACGGTATATTGCCTGCCGATAATAGACGAGAAACTCCAGGTACCATCAATAATGAAAGTCACCTTGCCTAAACACATTACCGATCTTATTGACGATACTGCTGCAGCCATTAACCGGCCTCACGATAGGACGCTGGATGGTATCTGACTGCTTTCGAACAATTAACAAATGTCTCGGACAATTTCTAACTGGGTTTCACATCGTGGAAAAGGCATGGAATATCGTTGATGGCACCTGACAATGTGGGTGTGATTTGTACTCAATTAGGTATGGACACATATTGGAGGGAGACGCTGCGCCGAGGCCCATGCACCGCCTTATTTGGCCGCGAGACAAGTCGAATGCAATTCCTGTAACATCGGCTATGCCTCAGAACGTGAAGCAGTACCTAAACTCCTTGCCAATAGAAATTTCCTAATTAGGAATATAGTTTTTAAAGCTATTTCATTTGTTCCAGGGTCGACACAAAAGGAATGCCACATTTCCTGGCGGACAAACAGCGAGCCTGTTGCAGTCAACAACAACGAGAAGTAAGTGATCTAATCTACTTTCTGATTTTCTAGTTTAATATAATTATTTCAATTAATTCAATTAGCTGAAGTACCTATTTGAAATAGTCGTAGATTTAAATTAGTTATGTTCTAACTTAGATGAATACACAAAGGATCTAACGGTATTGTGAAGACCGCTAAGACAAAACGTACCAATTAGAATGCTTTAAAAATAACCCAATTTTGACTGTATATTAGAATATGAACCCTCAAATTTCGTATTCGACCTCCCATTAATTTTGATGAAACGCTTGAAAATGTATCGATGAATAGAATTAGAATATAACAAAACAAGTCTTTATTGTCGGCCTCAAGAATAAAAATTCCTAACAATAAATTTTATCTGATACATCCAATATCTTCCACAGGAAAGGATTTGAATGTTCAAAAGGCAAGAAACGATGATTCTGTTCACCCATTGGGTAAAACAACAATCATGACTGAACAATTATCGATAAATAGTTTTAGTACTGTATTGGTATTGACACGTCTAACAATTCGCGTTTGTTCAAACAACGTCACGCGCTGCACCGACCCCCATCACTCATCCATTCATTGGAGTTTGTTTGACCTCCGATAATAAATAACGAGCAATCAGGTTGCAGTGCGCGAGAGCTCACGACACGCCGATAAAAATGCCCGTGCTTAGACTTAGCCTTGAATTTGACGTTTTGCTTATTACGAAACCGTATGAGGAATCAATGGATTGAGGACAGGCTGAGTTTTGGAGGGCTATAAGTTGTTTTTATTCTTTCTAACCCTTGACGGAAAAAGAGGGGTGTTTTGTTATCTTAGCAGTGCACTTATTTAACTGAATGTATTTACATATACAAGGTAAACGTCGAAAAACAAAGATTTTTTGAGCGAGATCAGAAATTCCCCTTAAGACGTTTTACTTTAAAATTCAAACAGCTTTAAATCTTCAGTTTCTTTTATTGGGTTTAAAACATTAAAAGCAGGATTCTCACCGATTCCTACCAATGGTCCTTTTTCTATTCAAGTTACCGCACCAGCAGTAGGCTATGATACCACAACACGATACCCGAGCAGACCACTTACCTAACCAATAATAAAGTCCCTACCTCTGCAGAGTACTCGGCTGACGCGTCAACGTTGCGCGACGTCGCGGACGGCTGCCCGGCCAGCAGGGCCCGCTACTGCGCCGGGGGCACCACCACGTGGCCAGGGCCCCGGGTACAGCCCCCGCAACCGGAAAATCCTAGTCTGGCAGCACCCGCGCCTCTCGACACCAAAGGTAACTTAAGGGCTTTCTGTTTACTGTCATGCAATTCTGATTGACTCGAGCTTCTCTTCAAAGTTTCCAAGACAGTAATAAATATACTCCTGATGGAAAGTAACAAATTATCTGAGATTTGTTGATTTTGTGAGATTTTGTTTTGATAAAATGATAACTTTCTGAATTGCGTTATTTAAAACAGAGTATAGTAAATCTCAATAACTACATCGATGTAATACGACAGTTGTTCGTCCAAAGTAATTAAGAGACTATTTAATTTAAATTGGCGCCGATGTGCCACCCACGGGCGATGTCAAAATCAAAAAGGTCTCTTGTTACGAAACAAAACCAGCGTTATGTCACACTCTGTTCGCCCATTCACCAAACTGATACACGAAAATTATAGTGATCCAGGGACGCGCGCGCCTCCACCTTATAGTAGCGAGCAAAAAGCGCATGCGCGGGGGCGGGCCCCGACCACTTTATTTATGCGCCATTTACACAATCCAACCGTGATTCCGTGCACACCGATTCGAATGTTAATCGATGGTGAATCGAGATGTATCGCGGAATCGCAACGTTGAGAACTCGCCTAGAGGTGCGCTAAAGAATTTCCGCCGAAGGACTTACTTGGTACACCTTAAAAGGTGTGATTCAATCTTAACCAAGATAGTTACGTTGAAATATGCTTATACATAATCGAAAGCGGGATTGTGGAAATTGGCGTTGGATATATGTGATCCTCTACTATAAAAAAAATGCACTTCAGAACTGTCTTCTTATATGTTTACGTCTAATGAAGTGAACCCATCTTTTTTAATCTATATTTTAACACGAGCTAATCATAGAGCTTTTAAGTGCCTTGTACATTTTCTATTAGGGTGTTCTCACGGAAGTTGTGTTGTTTCCTACGCCTGCCCGTCAACACCCAGTTTGAGTTACAGCTGGCCGATGCGCCGGCGCTGATCCGCCTGACGTCAGGCCGTATTTCAACTGCGCATGCATCAGTTAAGACACAGTTTTGTAATAAACAGGCACAGCCCATCAACTCCTCGACCCACGGCACATATATGGACTGGAGGCAGCGACGGAAACATTTGCATTTCAAATACATATTTCGCTCGTAAATCAATCCTAATTATAAATTAAATAGACAACATTTGCAATTGACAAGTGACGAGATTAACCTTATTGGACGATATTGTTAGTTACGAATACTATTATAATAAAAAGTATAAAAAATGGTGTGGGTGTTTGTTTATTTTCTATGTATATGTATTTATTAAAAGCTTTGATTTGACTTCTAGATAGAGCGTGGCAGCGCAGATTAAGTTTAAAAAAAATATGAGCCAACTGCTTGACTTGAAGTCGTTTCCCGTCACTTAGTGTTCAATGTAACGCTGAGCGATACGCACGACAATTACAGAGTTTCGTGTTGAAATTATTCCTTTGAAATGCTGAGATGTTAAAGTTTGCCGAAATTTATTTTTGTCTAACTGCCGAGGTATGACAAAGGATGGTTTAAACCGTTGGAGTTTTTTGCATTTCCAGACTACCTAACGATCCCATAATGAAAAGTCGGTGAGTGGACTTCATTAGAAGAAGTCGTGTAGAAGATTTCTGTCAACCAGCAAAAACAACGATTTACCTAGATCATTTTAATAAAATAATAAATTTAAATAACTGTAGCACAAATTTTGCGTCACAGATCCATAATAATACATACCTATTGTATAATATGTCAAAATTTAAAGTAATAGTAAACTACTAAATTCAAGGCCTTAATCATCATAATGTGAAAAAAAGTCAATTGTTGTTCGTTTCTATATTATCTTGGCTATTATTTTAGATAAACTAAATAAAAATTTGTAACAAATATAAAAAAGAAATACTATAAAAAAGTTAGTTTAGTAAAGTTTTCTTTAGATTTAAGCATCAAGCAGTTACATGCTTGATTTTTTTTTACTTTTTTTATGTGTCATATATCCAAGTATAAATTTAAACGTTTTACAGATGTTTCAACGTCTATGATTTTTAATTGTGTAAACAATATACTAATTTTGATTTGATTAAGTTTTCCCATTTTTTGGGGAATGTGGCCTAACCATGCCACATGGGCACAAAAATAATGTCATTTCGCGAGTGTACGATTTAAGATTCGCGTGTTTTGTTTTGCGTGTCACGCACACAAGTACATTAAACCTGGTCTCTTTTTATCGCAGTGTTTATGTAAAGAGTAAATAATCAAAAATTTAAGGTTATATTTTAACAAACAATAATAAAACTGTCTTCAATTACCCGAACGCCTCCTTTTCTGTTCATCATAAATTGCGATTGTTTTTTGTTTCCATCACAGCAACGTGTCTGATTTTGAAACCGCTACATCCGAATTCGCACGCCCCAAACACACCTCTAACTGTAACACCCACTGGTTAATCAGAGCTATCTCACCATCTTTTAATCCGCTTTCAGCTCGCCTGGTCAGTTACGTCAGGGATAATCTGTGGCAGGTGCATTAGATCTGCCGTCCCTCTCGCACGCCTGCCCCTGCGCAGTAAATCTTGCGCCGATCCATGGACGCGTTAGATCTAATTAAAGTCCGTTAGATAGAATTTGTTGCCTTTATTGGAGTGCACACGATTAACTACCGAACTGTCTTGGACGCGATTGTTGGTTTGACCTCTGACACGTGGTCGTCCTTGGGTGAGGCCGTGAGAGTGCACCGCTCCATTTGTGGTACAATCTAAATAGGACAACGCGATCTTTATCCTCATACCATTTATGTCTATGAATAGTTCAGTGACTAAACCACAAATATATAAATTTCTGCTGGCATCTCTTTCAGCATAGTTTAAGGAAATAGGTATTTGGTTATTTGATCCTTAAACTGTTCGTACAAGTCCTACTTTTTATCGTACAATTCATTTTCTATCAAGCTTTTTTCTTAATCCAACAATCCCTCAATGCCCTAATTGCTTCGAACTATCGGAGGTTCCATGAGATCATACGAAGGCTAATCGGCTCATGATTTACCAACTCGGAGCGGGCTTTAGGAGCCGGATTCCTTGCGTCAATTAGACGCCGCCCGCATTTATGGCGCTAACGCCATAAATTATTCAGGGACGCGGCCCATCGGCGCGACTGGATAGTCTCCAATCTTCCCATTTACATTAAACATAAACCTATCAAAATGTTAATGCCGACACTAAAAACTCATTAATAATATGCGTATTTATACTTAATCCAGCGGTTTCCGGAAACATAAGTAATAATCGTAGTTACACGTAAGTACTTATGGTATATTCCTGTTTTGAGCATACATATTTATTTTTTAACAAATTTTTGGACGAACTGGGAAATGAGAAGTCGGAAAAGGGATTTACTCACTATTTACTGCAATGAGAATTTCCGTTAGTATAAGCGTCTCCTCTGGAAAAATATTTAGGAGACTGCAGTTAAATAACTCTAATTTCCTTTATTGTCTACACAATGAGTGATGGAAAATGGTGGCGTCTTCTTCAGGACTACAAAATAACTCCACAAAGAGGCTAAATATGGGATTAAACCGCCCGGGGTGGAAACTCCTTGTCTAAAATACATTTTTTTTATATATTTTTTTAAGACCGATTCTTATTTTACACTATTTGATTTGCGTACCCAACGGTTTGGGTTGTCTGGTTAGAAGTCGACTACCGACTCTCGCTCAGATAAATTTCTTTCAGTGTCCAAAGGTGTATTCAAAAACATTAATTTAAATACCACCCAACGACACGCTATTACTCACCACGTAAAAATTTATCGCACATGATGACTTATTTCGGGCGATTAGTTTGAAACTAGCATTTTGATAATAACTCAAATTTACCGAGGCAGTTTTTCCTTTGTTCTTGCACGAATATTATGGAAATATAACATCGAATATCGCAGATGTACAAGTAACACCCAAGTTAAAAACTTTACACCATCTCGGTCGTGGAAAAACGAATGGATCCAGCATTTGAGGACTCGAATAAAAAAAAAGACTATGTTTTTAAAGTCTCAGAAAAATATCTGCATTTTACTTACATATGATTTTTATGAGCTGAGATTTGATCGAATAATGATAAGAGACTAGCCTTATTTAGCACTAGCTGACCCAGCGAACTTCGTATCGCCATAAAAATATGGCTGGTAGAGGGGTGAAAATTAAGGGTTGTTTGTGTTTTTAATATTACGATACATATTTAACGTAGTTTTTTTTTCTTCAGACGATTTAATAATTATTTTGAACACCAAATCGGTTATTGTGATTAAACCATGATAGCTAGATATATGTTCTCTCGGACTTTTTTGTAGGTCTTAATGGGATCTACAAACCCGTAGTACATCATTTTGTTCTATTGTCAATAGTTTTTGCAGCGCACGCAAAAATAGGTTTACGATTTTACACCTTGTGTTACAAAATAGCAATTTTATTACGGATCCCTAATGTTGAAAAATAAAATATAGCCTATAGCCGTCCTTGATAAATGGACTACCCAACACTGAAATAATCATTTAAATCGGATCAGTAGTTCCAGAGATAGCGCGTTCAAACAAACAAACAAACTCTGCAGCTTTATAATATTAGTATAGATTGAAATCATTTTCATCGATATTCCTTTAACTATAGAAGTCTATTCCTTCCCAACACTAGTTGGAACATATTGATTAAACACATTTATGTTTCCCTTTTAAATAGAATTATTACGTCGAGTTCTTTCAACACCAGATTGCATTTATAATTCGTCTATTAGTCAACAGTTAACACAAATGGCATCTGAGCGCAATTTAGTATTCACAATATAATAATAATCTACTAAAACATACGTATTTGGCGAACCGCCATATTTCATAGCAACCAGAATCCAGATAAAAGCAAAATGCTAAGTTATTTATATGAAGTTACGCTATTGTGAGTTACTATTTACAATTATCTTTGTTATTTTGTTAACTCACTTGTTTAGGAAATTATCTCCTTATTCGTGACGTGAGCAAAG